ATGTGGTATTTTCAATCTCACCTCAATAGATTTGTCTAATATCATGTAACTAGTAATTGCTCATAATAAATATTTTTTTTAATGATTTTATCAATTACAATCGTAGTCCCTATTTGTTATTTTCAATACCTTATACCAAATGAGATATAGATTAATAGTAGTTACGAACAATATGGCTCACCTCGGCACCCGATGACTTTACCAGCTGTGCTAGACATGGCTGCTTTAGAAAGATGAAGATAAAGTACCCTATTGCTTGTGATGAAACTGTGTTGTTGAACGCTATTTATATTATAGAGTTCAGATTACATATTATTATAGATTGGCCACACGCATGAAAGAGTAAGTGACGCGTATATATGTAAATACCAAAAGATAAAACAAACTTGTGCACAAAATAAAGAGAAAATTACAATTAGGTCTCAAAAAAGGGGATTTAATTACCTTAAAGTCAATTAATAAGGGAAGAGTAACCAGTGACAAGTTTTAGAGTTGGGAATGATAGTAAATTCAAACTGGTAACTTGTCTTTGAAACTTTTCGGTATTTTTTTTTTTTTGGGACCTCTTGATAACTCTCCCTGAATAAATTATCCGTGAATAAACTTTGTTTATATATTGCATGCGATTTTGAATGTACGTATGATTAATTTTCTTGTGGTTGGTTTTTAATTTTTTTTTCCCTCTATTAGATGTGGGGAAAAATTGTACATGGTTTTCAACTTATTGTGTAACAGTAATACTTATTTTATTTTGAGATTAAATGTTTTATTGTGAGGGAGGGAGAGAGTGAGAGTAGGTAAAAACAACCAGCAAGCATTTAGTCCATATGGAAGATGTTAAGGCTGCTTAGACATGAGGTCTTCGATCATCAAATCTGAATTTGTATGAATGGAAAAAAAATGTCTTTAAAAAGATATATTCCTTGTTTAAGTTTGACAATTGTTAAAGCTAACTAATAGTAGTAGATGTAACATATTATATTAAAAAAGAAATGCAAATAATAATAATAATAATAATAATAATAATAATAATAATAATAATAATAAAGTTCGTCATAAAGTATAATTTTTGAATTTTTTTTCCAATTAATTAAGCAATATAATAAGATCGATTCTTACAACAACAAAAAAAGATATTTCATATGTTATAGTAATGTCAAATTTATGTGCATATTTGTTGCATAACCTTCATTTTTTACATAAGATAAACCCTAAAAGACAACCAAGCAAAGCAGCCTAAAATAGACAGCAATGTAGGGGAAAACAAAAATACACTTAATTCTTACAAAATACTCCTCCGGTCCTAAATATAAAACTTATTTTGTAGTATAATTCATACTAACAAATGGGTCTTATATTTAGGATTGGAGGGAGTATAATAAATAAAATATGTTTATTTGCTTCGCGAGCGCTTCACATTAGGTGAGAATTAAACCCTAAAAGACGGAATGGCAAAAAAAAAAAAAAAACCTATACAGCAAACCTTGGGAGAGAAAAAAACTCTAATTATTCCAACAAAACGATAATATGTTTATTTCTGTCCCACATGAGCTTCATGCATATTAGCGGGGATATAATCCGCTAGGTATAATTGGCGTATTTAATTATTCTTTTGTTATTGATACTGTTAAGGGTAAGTCCATGGAGCACTCAAGTAATTCTTTTCAAGATATTTTCAGATACTAGAGGTGAATATATCTCTTAACAAAAATTTGAATCTTTATTTATCATATTATGAAAAATTATCTCCTTCTGCAAAATTTAACTCCCATTAGTAATCTCAATACTTTTTAGGGAAAATTAGGGATAAATCCCTCATTGAAAATTTAATTGGAAAATGGGACCGAGGATGATTGATTGCACAAGGAAAGATTAATTGCACACAAAAGATGATAAGTTGCACAAAGAAAAGATAGTTTGCACAAATTATTTTTGGATACAAGGAATTAGTTTGCACATAGGGAAGATGACTTGCACATAAGATTATTTTATTTGTACAAAGAGAAATTGAGTTGCACATCGCACAAAGGAAGATCATTGCACACAAGGGAAGATAAATTACACATAAGGAAAGATAAGTTACATGCACAAGAAGTTAAGTTGCACAAAATCTTTAGGTTCTATTTGCTAATTAAATTTTCAACAGGAATTTATCCCCAATTTTTCCGGCTTTTTATGTGACACTGAAAGTCTAAGAACCAGAAGCCCATTAAGAAGTCAAAGAACCAAAAGGTTCAAGAGAATATTTGGGCTTCAATTTACTACATTCAGGGCCCAAATGATTGAGTCTTCTATTTAAGTTATTTATTTGACATATTATTTTGGGTACTAAAATTCCACTGCGCATTTTAGGATGTTTTCATTCCTGAATTATTTGCAAACTATATTTGTGTTACTCTACCTAAATGTAAATCTTTTGCGCTGCCCCAACCCCCAGCTAGAGACTTCCAGGTCCATCAATTTTTGTTCGATTTGGTGATGAAAAGAAGGGAAACAGAAGCCATCCATTCTCCTTCAGATAAAACTGCGCTACACGTGGCAGAAACCCAATGGAGGAATCTATTGATCTAGATAAGGAAACGGATTGTGTCCTTTCTAGTAACCCCAGCTCGGACGATCTTTAATTTAGCTTCCTCTTATTCCCTTCCTACTTTGACACATTTTTCGCAGAACCTGAAGAACTGTCCCGCACTTGGCATCAGAGCAACAATGGCTTCCATGACCATGGCTGCTTCATTCATGGGTGGTGCAATGACCAAAAACCCCTCATCTTCAACCCCTCGCAGGAGCCTCATAGTGGCCAAAGCCACAGAGGGCGAAAGGGTCAGTGTGGAAGCCATGAAGAGCAGAAAGGAAGAAGGAGGTAACAGTGGAAGGAGGGATCTGGTGTTTGCTGGCGCAGCTGTGGCTGCATGCTCCATCGCCAAGATTGCTTTTGCTGAAGAAGAGCCTCAGCGAGGAACCCCAGAAGCTAAGAAGAAATATAATGCTATTTGTGTCACTATGCCTACTGCTCGTGTTTGCCGCAAGTGAATGAATTTAAGTCATTTTGCCTTTTCCATTTCTCCTCGATCACTGTTATTTCTAAGAGCTTCATGTACAATACTATTATGATCATGTAATCCAACTCTCTCTTTCTCATTCTGCATAATTGTGTCTTCTTCCAAATATGAACTATCTGCTTAATCTTCTTACATCCCCCCCCCCCGAGTTTTAATTTTTCCTCTTATGATCATAGAATAGGTATTATATGCTTCTGGGCTCTTCAAAACTTGTGCAAATTTTGTACAATCTTCTGTAATTAAATCCTGATTCCGCCCCAGTTCACAGAACACAAGTTTACCATAGTAAATGTTTGTTTCCAGTGTCTTCCAAAGGTTACATCAGAGAAGTTATCAGCTTAATTTGATTTGAAATCTTCAGAATCGCTTATGATTGCCTTTTATGGTATCATTGACAAAAAGGAAAATACAAACTGGGGCGAAACTGGGAAAGCAAAGAACAGGGAGAAAGATTGATGAGGAAATTTTGAACTTGTTTGGATTCTTGTTTCGAAAACAATTTTCTATTTTTATAAAATCAAAGCCAAAAAAATTAAAAAAAATTGTTTGATAATTTGTTTCTAGTTGATTGTTTTGATAGAAAAAAGTATTCCTTTAATTCTAAATATAAATCCCTTATACTAGTATGTATAAAGATTTTATATTTAAGACCGAAAGAGTAATATGTTTTAAAAAACTAAAAAATCAAAACAATTTTTAGATGTTTCTTTGTTTTTGTTGTTGAATTTTTTATTTTGAAATATTAGAGAAAATTTTTTTTCTCCTCATTCACCGCCTGCTACATATCACTTTCGGTGGTGGACACTCTTTGCCAAATGTGATTTTTAAAAATAATATCCTTTTTTTTTGTTCATTTATTCTCAAAACTTTTTGTGGAAAACAACTTGATAAAATCATTTTCAAAAAATAAAAAATAAAAAACAGAAACAAACAAGCTTTTTATTTCTTTTCAGATTGGTCTGGCACGTAGATTTGAAGTCATTGCAGTGCAACACTTTGGAATTGGTTCTGTAAATTTAGGAGGTGTTTGGAAAACATCGTTTTTTAAAAACATTTTTTCACAAATCGAAATAAACTCCTCCACATATTTACTTTGTATACCATAAAATCACTTCTAAAAACATGATTTGGTTTTTATCCAAACACTTTTTTACGGTCAATAAAACACTACAGGGTAAACCATGCCTTTCTAGGTTTAAGAGAGCCTGATCCGTCCCTAATCATGTACAAAGTACAATTTGATTTGGGTGACTTGCATCACATTCAAGAGAATTCAATACAAATAGTTTTTTAAAAAGTTTTTTAATTATAATTTATGAAATACAAAATAAATATATAATAGAAGTTTTATATTAGTTTACGTAAAATATTATTTTAATTGTGATTCAAAATAAAACTTTAAATTTATTAAAATAAACAAATATCAAAATAAGGGGAAAATGTTATTAAAATATAAACTGTTTATATCTGATTTGTATATGACCAATGTAAACAAAATTAAGCAGCACTTAAACCATTAACTTATAAATGATATATAATTTAATGTTGTACAAAGATATTTCAGAGACATCATATGACATTTATTATAATTAGCTAATTTAATTGGCTTCTTTGATTTTTCAAATTAGTCAAGTAAGATGTGAAAATAGATCTTTAGACGCCGGTTTTCTAGTCTCTCCACTTAACCTAGAGAAGCAATATCCTCAGACAAATGGTCTTTCAAGCAAACTCAAATCTTGGGCTTATTTTATTCAGCATCTTAAGCCTTTGAAGCAGATCAAACACTAAAGAAAAAGAAAAACCTAAACAAGAGAATGTTTTACATAATCCCGCCCATCATCATCCCCTAGACAAGCATATCAATGTTAGGTCATTTATACGCCTTTGTTGATGCGGTTCCCTAGTTAGTTTCTCTTGGGTAGAAAATAGACTGAAAAGTTGAACATAAATTTGGGAGAACCATCAACATAAATGGCATCTTTCAGGCAAAAACCAAAAGCTACCAGTGGACAAAAGCTTATCTGCAGCACTGATTAGTAGTGAACATGTTACAATAAACAAATCCTGTAACACATGGCCTTATTGAAGCAAGAACCAAAACTGAAAAACGCTTCCCTAACCGGATAAGTGGCAAAAAGAAAAAAAAAAAAAAAACCCAAGCTGTCATGTAAATATAGGAGAAGACAAGCACCCAAAATTTTGATACAAAATGAGACTGGCTAGTTTAACTGTTACAGGACAGCAACAGCTCAGAGAATTGTAGGTTATGGCCATTCATGTATCAACCTTTCACTGCATATGCGTTCCTTGGCCAAGGAGTCATTCACTTTTTCCATTTTGCTGGCTTGCAACAAAGTTCCGAACAACTTCCATGGCCAACTGATGTGCGTTCTTGTTCTGAAGCTTGGCCAATTCATCCATTGCTTCATATGTCTCTTTGTCCGCAAAAAGCTTGAGGTTGTAGCGTGCTGGTACTACCGGAAGACCCTCCCATTTGGTTACCAATTCTTTGAGCTTTTCAAATCCCTAGAAACAGAAAATGGTGATGCTTAACCCCAAATTTTACTCTAACCACCCTATAACTAACAAGAAAGAAATGGAAGCATCTAACCCTAGAGATGTGGAAAGAAAGAAGGCTTCAAAACTCACCATGCGCCATGTAAAGTCGCCAAATGATTCTTTGGATTGCCTCTTGCGCTTCCAATGATAAAATAAAGGTTCCAGAACCTTTTCAAGGTCTTGAACTTTTACTTTATCCATGAAAGTTTGAGCTAAAGCTGTTTGATTTGGCTTTCCTCCAAGCCAAATCTGCATTAGCAGGGAGGGAAAAGTGAATTCGATATATCTTAGAAATTGTCTGCCAACTGTAAGCAGGAAAACCCATGGATCAACATACCTGATAGCTGTTGGGGCCATCACCAACCAGTCCAAGTTCAGCCATGTATGGTCTAGCACATCCATTAGGACAACCAGTTACCCTCACAACAACAGACTCACTATACTTCAGCCCAACCTAAATCACAAGGAGAAAGCTTTTTATAAAGAATCCTGAACTTTGAGCCATACTATCAATTGTTAAACCTCTATTGGCTCCGGTACCTTCTCAAAAACTGCACGAATCCGCTTGAGAATGTTGGGTATCCCACGTTCAGCTTCAGTAATTGCCAGTGGACAAAGGGGTAAAGCAGGACAAGCCATGGCTGTTAAATTGAGGGGATCTACATATCTAGGTTGCTGTTCAAAGCTAACAGGTCAGCATAGACACATTATGACAACTGACAAAACTAGGGCAGCATCAAATAAATATAAGTCCCCAAATAGATAACAGAAAAGATAGGGAAAATAAAAAGAAAAAATTGGAGAAAACTAACAAGAGAATTTTGATCATTCCTTGTATGATTTGTCAAATGCCAACCTCGGGTTATAGACCTTCCATTTATAATTAAAGACTTTCTGATAATCAAAGTTTAAAAGTAGTTTCATTCACAGGAGCATCGCAAAAGAATCAACATATTAAAACAGTAACATGGTCCATCCGTTACAAACACTGTACAAATACTTAAAACATACTAAATTAAGACGGGAAACATTGCCATGAAGACATGTCATTTGAAGTTAATGAGCTAAGTAGAGAAGTACTTGGCATACAAATATAATTCAGCAATAAAGCGATCAGGCTGATCTTTATTTTCAAGAGATCATATAATTCAAGCAAGCTGTAAAATCCTCACCAGCAGACCAGCTTGGGCAAGAACTGAAGTGATGGGCCGTTTCCATGCAGCAAGAATATCAGTCAAGATGATGTTTTGGTTTGGAGTAATCCTAACATTCAAATTGTACTTCTCAATAACTTCCCGCAATGTCTTCTTCATATTGCCAGCAATACGACCATTATCAACGTGAAGTCCACAAAATAAACTGCCATCACCCTGCCAAAAAAGGAAGTTAACAAATGAGCCTGTGATGCTGATGGAATGAAACAATCGTTTAGGCAAACTGGCAAAAAAATCATCATCAACGGTTGTCAGCTAAAGAGTACTTAAGGACTTAAAAGAGAGGTATGAATGTAGTTTTCTCATACAGCATAATTTGGTCACATCTCTAAAGAGTTATAACTTACATCATACAAGAAATTAGTAAAACCTACACCATATTGAACTTGAAGCTTTAAATTATATTTAATTAAACTGCTTGATGTTATTTTATTAACATATTCAATATTATAAATGGCATGCCCCCACAAGGCAAACAGGATTGAAACAACTTTGACTTTGTCAGATAGGAAAGCTCGAGATGAAACATGCTTTGTCCTCGTATCAGATATGAGATTTGATTCCAAAATGAGGACATGGAACATATCCAATACTCTAGACCATTATTCTCTAATCAAGCAAGTCAACCACAATATGGATGGTGTTGATTAGCAAAAACGTAACATATTAATATTGCATGCCAATCATACAACTTTCCCAGAATACTAATAAAGGCATCAGATATTAGCCACTCATCTAAGGAACCAGCCTAAGGCATCAGATATAATCCACTCATCTAAGGAACCAACCTGCTCATGCCAACCCAGATAACCTTTGAACTCCCAATCAGGCAATTCACGGAAAGGTTCAAATTTCTTGCCATAATATTGCTCAACTACACTTCTGAACTTTTCAATTCCCCATGAGCTGACCAAATATTTCATTCTACTATACTTACGGTCATCTCTTCTTCCATTTTCTCGTTGTGTAACAACAATTGCTTTCACTGCATACAGAATATCCTCTTTAGGCACATAACCTAGAGGTTCAGCCAAACGAGGAAAAGTTGCTTCCAGCCTATGTGTTCTTCCCATCCCCCCACCAACCTGCAAGCACAATCACAGGAAAAAAATCAGCAAAGGCAAGAGAACTTTTGTTCAACAATCATTTTATTTCAACTTACATATATGTTGAACCCCTGAGGCTCCCCTTTGTCATCAGTCACAACAACAACGCCAATATCATTTGTAAGAATATCCACTGAGTTATCGGTTGGCACTGTAACAGCAATTTTGAATTTCCTTGGCAAGAATTGAGTTCCATAGATAGGCTCAGGGGACTCTGGGAAATTTGTCCCATGAGAGTTATCATTGCGTGCCTGCACAACTTCAGGAGGTTCTGCAGACATAATCCTTTCCCCATCTACCCACATATCATAGTAGAAACCAGACTGAGGGGTCAACAGTGCAGCAATGTTTTCAGCTGTCTGCTGTGCAAACAGGTAATCTTTCCTAACAAGTGGAGCAGCAGGAGCAAGAACATTTCTGTTTAGGTCACCACATGCACCAAGTGTTGATCCCATATTCTTAATAATGGTGCTCATAACCGTTTTAAGGTCCTTCTTGAGAACGCCATGAAGTTGAAATGTTTGTCTTGTGGTCAATCGAAGTGTTCCAATTCCAAACTGATCAGCAAGATCATCCATGGTCAAGTAAAGTCTGTTTGGAACTTTGCCACAAGGGTTTTTAGTACGTAGCATGAACGAGTACGATCTTGTACCACGCTCATCTCTATTATACTGTTGATAGCTACCATGGAACTTGATCAACTGTGTGGCAGCTTCATTTATATTAGGAGCATCGGTCAGCAATTCCTCATTAAGAGGATACCGTATGTAATTACTTTGCTCTTTCAACAATTCAACCTTGCTGCGCTTCTCTGTGGCAGTTTCAACCTTCGTCGGCTGCAGAGAAATTACAAACACTATAAGGTGATTATTCAAAAAAAAAAAAAAATTCTGATCACAATGGGACCACAAACTTTGGCAGCAGGAGCATTCAATTAATGAGATGAGTTCGAACTAAATTCTTTTAAGCTTAAAACTGGCGAAATCTCTTGGTGATACTGATAAAACTATCACATCTATAACTTCAATATTCAAATTTAGATTTCGAGCAAGCGATCTTTTAATCATTCGATTTTATAACTGGGGAAAACAGAAGCACAAACAACCAACACTGGGGGGGGGGGGGAAAAAGCAAAGACAAAAAAACTGTCAGCCATTTCGCTTAGATTGCCGTGCGAAATTAAAGCTGAAAACAGAGCTTATTACGCTCATAAGCCTACACTTTCTCAGCTTCCAAACAGTCCATCGATCAAAATTAATAAAGGAGCAAATTTCAGCTTCATGTTTTTTTTTTCAAGGAAAGAAAAAAAGAATGATTAAAGTCATCAATGGAATCACACCGTGGACACAGCGCGGATGAGGGAGCGAGTGGAAGAGAGAACGGAAGGAGCATGGACTGTGCGAGTGAGAGCAAGAGAGTTTGCAGTCCTCAAGCCATGGAAGCTCGGAATCTGAACCTTGGGGTCCTTCAGAACAACAGGTTTCGCAGCTCCCAACGACGTCGTCATCCCCCGGAAAAAATCCCCCAGCAGCCCAGCGATGGATCAAGATCCAGCAAGAGGCAACTCCACAACGAAAATGGAAAGAGGGTTTTGTCTGCGTCAGTGTCTCAGAACACAAACGAACGGTGTGCGAGCAGCGCACCACGATTGGCAGATTAATAAAGTGGAAGGGATGCTGGCTGCCGATGCTGGATGGTTTTAAAATATTGTTTGTTGTGACTGTGAGGGCGAATACACCCGCACATGGAAATTCCGAATAATGTGAATTAATGGTTTAAAACACATACCACCTCCAGTAATTAATATATGATATCGTTTGATTTTTATTTTAATCTTAAATATAAGATTTTAATCCATTTTATCTGTGATATTTATATATTTTTTTCAAAATAGTCTTTCTAACAATAGTAGTTCTAGCGAGTACATTTGATTAGCAAGAATATTTTAGGAAAGACAATACTTATTTATGATAAATAACTAACTTAACTTCTTTCCTTAATCTCCTCAAATTAGTCAACTAGTTTTTATAATTAGAATAGGAAGTAATATTAAAAATAGTTTAGTGTCAAAGATATGTAATGGAATATGAGGAGTTCGATAATTATTTATGAGGGACAATTAAATGTGAGAAGTATGAAATTAATGCAACAACAAAAAAATTCTGACCTGGAAAGAATAATGCAAATTTTAGTAAGAGTAAAGATGGGAAGCTGATAAATTTAATTAGTTAGCCGTTTTTAGCTCCCTTCCTTAATCATGTGAAATTAGTTAAACATGGCTTAATTTTTACAATTACAGATTTTATTATGAAAAATTGCTAAACAAAATAGATTATTGCATGATTTAATTGTCTAAATATACGTGAAATGAAAAAGAAATATTCTTTAGTTATACTCTTCCGGTCTTAAATATAAGACCTTTATATACACTAATATAAGAGTTTTATATTTAGGACCAAAGGAATATATAGACTATCTTGTTGGCCAACCTAAAAGACACTTACACTTAAGGATATATTACTTCTAACTCAAGATATGTTGCATCCCTTCAAAACGAGTTATCTTTTTCACAATAAATTTTACTGAGGAGGATTTCGAGCAATTTTTCCTTTCATAACTTATTCTGATATATTAATACTGCCTATGATCCCAATTAATTTGACTTTTAATTTAATTCTAAATATAAAATTCTGATTCAATTTATCCTTCAAATTTATTCATTTTTAAGATAATCTTTGTAGTAGTTACACATATTAAAGATTCTATCACATAATAGTTTTAACTAATACATATAATTAGCAATAATATTTTAAAAAAGACAATATATATTCATCATAAATAAATAATTAAATTTATTTTTTTAATTTATTTAAATTAGTTAACTGAGTTTTATAAAAACACACGTGTCCTCACGTCCATATTTGAGGACAGTTAAAGAAGACGTTTTGGAGTACTATTGAGTAATGGGCTGGACTATGACTCTTGGTGATAATAAGAATATGTGCACTCTTTTTGCTTTTTGGATACATTTAAGAACATATTCTTGTGGTGTCGTATCTGATAGTGCCCCGTGGGGTCACAAGGGTCCTCGTGTGTGACGCGAGCGCCTTCGTCTGTGTTTAATTTTTGTGTCAGAAGTTCTATCTCACGCGCCGCACACGTCCGTGATGCCTACGACATTGCCATTATCTTACACAATTTTAATAGAGGTAATTAAGAAATTGATGTTAATTCTATGTATAAAATTTATTTTAAATACTTATTAATTATTTTATATTAATTTTATTGATATTTTTTAATTATAATCAAAAATAAAATGAGGAAGAAAATTAAGAAAGATATTTAGAGCTTTTAGAAAAATATATCATATTAATTAAATTAACTAATATTTTTAACTTACTTAAATTAATTAATTAAATCTTACATTAAGAACAAAAAAATTTTATTGAAAATTTTTAATGAATAAAAATATTTAAAAATTTGATAAGAATTTATTTGATTATCTATTAATATACATGATTTTTATAATTTTTTATTCTAAATACTAATCTATAATTGTAATAATTTAAATTATTTAAGATAAATAGCTTTAGATTGTCCCTTCAAAGTGAGAAGCCTGTAAGAATTGGTTTTTATTTTCCAATTAATATGATGCGTTCATAGGATAAGATATGAATTAATGATATGCATTATAGGTGATCAGAGTGAGTGCTGAATTAATTTTTTTAATAAAGTTGATATTTAATTGTTATAAAAATGTTTTGGGAAATTTAATTACAGTTAAACCGGGAAATGCTTAAATCTAACATTCTAATCATATAATTGTATATTTTTAATGATTCATTAGACTTGCAATTTTGCAATTTACATAAAATTATATTAAAATAAAAATAAAAATTTTCGTAAATTATTTATTTTTATATTTATGCAATTTTTAGAATACATACTATATAAATATGTTTAAAATTAAATAAAATTATATAATAAAATATTTTAGTTATGTGGTGAAATTTAGTTATAAATTTTATAATTCAAAATAGAATAAAAAACGGAGCACGCGCTGCCAAGCGAACTGTATAGTGCGTGGGGGGGGAGACAAGACGAGCCAAATCGAAAAAGGTAGGAATCCGCGAGACGTGAATCTGGACGGAATATTGGGTCCGATCAATGAGGTGTTGAAATTATCGGAGGAGTCAAATGAGGGTCTGCTGCGGCAGAAAGCCATCCAAACCTGAACATCCAAGTGAATACTGTGTACTGACAACCGAGCGCTGACTCAGTTAGGGTTTTAACCATTTTCCCACGTAAGATGGAAGGAACAAAAGTTACCGGCGGTAAGGGGGAGCGGATTCGGCACTATTTTGGGCATCCTAATATTTTAAAATATTTTGTAACTAGGATTTCCTTCATAAAATATTTTAAAATATTAAATGTATTTAAAAACATTTTAAAATTATGAATATAGTAAAAAAAAATATTTTAAAATACTGAATACACCTGATAAAATATTTCAATGTATTATTAACCAACTTAACTTCTTTTTTCTTTTGATGAAAAATTTCTTATAAAACCATAGGAAATAAAGAAATTTCAAATCAAGTTGACAAATTCTAAAAAAATATCTAATTAATCCATGGATCTAATTTGGGATTTATGAAAAATCATATAAAAAAATTCGTTTGATGTGTGCAATTAATAAGGATAACTTGAGAAAAACATTATAAATTTAGAGAAGAATTGTGTATTGAGATTTTATATTTAAAATCAAAATAAATATTTAATTAATTCCTATATTTAGCATAGAAGGAGTAATACTACCTCCAATCTTTAATATAAGAGCTAGTTAACTAATTTGAATAGATTAAGAAAGTTTATTAAGTTAGTTATTCGTAATAAATAAATGTTATTTTTCCTAGAATATTCTTACTAATCATATGTATTAGTTAGAATTACTGTTTGATAGAACCTTTAACATGTAAAAATACTATAATGATTATTTAAAAAAATAAATAAATATGAGAGTTAAAATAGATTTGGATCTTATATTTAGAATCAAATTGGGCTAAAGTATACATTTGGTCCTTTAACTTTATGTGAGGTTTCAGTTTAGTCCTTTAACTTTAAAAAGTATACTTTCAATCCTTTAACCCCAAAATTGTTAATCTTAAATGATATTTTTTGTAACAATCATAGTTGTTTTGAATATTAAACTTCATATGTTAGTATTTAGTAATATTTTATCAGTATTCAAGAGTTTTGTTAACAATTTTGGGATCAGAAGACTAAAAGTTTATTTTTTAAAGTTGAGGAACCAAAATGAACTATTGTGTAAAGTTAAAAGACTAAAAATATACTTCAGCCATCAAATTGAAAGTTAAATTAATTTTTTTATTAAGTATTGGAGCACTAGTTAACATGATCATGAAAATTCCTGTGGGGCATGGCAAGTGATCACATCCGGGCTCTGTCTCAAAAAGTTTGGCCAATGTCAATTACCGGTTGAGGCTTCTCTATCATGATGCTCATTTGGAGAAGTTGGAATTTGATGTTGATACCTCTCTCAGTTTACCACGAGTTGTTTCTTCTAACATATCATCACCGCACAAGGCCCAAGCTAACTAGTTCCTACATAAACGCTAACTTGAGTTCTTTTAATTTTTTTTTTTAATAAAAAGAGCAATTGTACATTAAACAACAAGTACAAAAGGCCTGAACCAACCAAGCACAAACATTTTGGCCGAAAAAAAACCAAGCACAACACAAAATATAAGACTATGTCAGATACTAAAAAAATACTAGTTTTAATCTTTAATATAAATTTAGTTAATTAATTTAGAAAAATTAAGAAAGTTACTAAAGTACTTTAAAGTATTTATATTTATCTTTTTTTAAACTAATTTGCCTTACTTATAAATTGATATATAATCTAATGATGCATATAAATATTTTAGACAAATCATGTAACATATGCTATAATTAAGTAATTTAGTAATTTTTTTTGTCTTCCTAAATTAGTCAACTAGATCTTACATTAAAAATAGGAAGCAGTAACAATTTTTACAAAAAAAAAAGGATGATAATTGATCATATGAATAATAAGAAAACTGCAAAATAGAGACCACAATATACTACTCCAAGTATTAGCACCTGCCAGAATCAAACAAAGAAGCAATGGATGACCCTTATGAACAGAGGACGCTCCCAATATGCTCAACTATCAAACAATAAAAGCAATGGATTAAGGTTGCCTAAAAAATTCAAATTGGGTTTCCTCATCAAGTTCCAACTCCAGTCCTAATTATAAGAACCAGTTGACTAATTTAAGGAGATTAAGGAAGTAAGTTGAGTTAGTTATTTGTCTTAAATAGGTGTTGTCTTTCCTAAAATATCCTTGTTAATCAAGTGTATTGACTAAAACTATCATTGTTAGAAAGACTATTTTGAAAAATATATATAAATATGAAAGACAAAGTAGATTGGAGTCTTATATGTAGGACCAAAATAAAAGTCAAATAGGGTCTTATATGTAGGACCAAAATAAAAGTCAAATAGGGTCTTATATTAAGGACCAGATGTAGTATTAGTCAAAAACCATATGAGCATAAGACCAAAGAAGGAACAAATTGTTGATCTTTGGCAGCT